TCCGCACGCATTGCGAACAAGGCTAACTAGCCTTCCTGCGCCCTTATCGTCCCCCAGCAATTGCCCCAGCGCCCCAGCTCGACTTCATGCCTCTCCTCAACGTCCCCGGCATCCTCGGCAACGTCCCCCGACGGCCCATCACTGCCGCCCGCCCCGCCCCGCCAGATCTCCCCCGCGATCCAGATCGCTCCCACGTCATTCCCCACGCCGAGCCGTGCCTTGCCCGCCGTTCCGGCCCATCGGACATCCCGCCCGCAGGCGCGCGCCCGCCGCCCTCGCCGCCCTCGCCGCCGCCCTCGTCCTCGCCGCCGCCGCCCTTGTCCTCGCCGCCGCGCTCGCTCCGACTGAGTAGCACACCGACTGTAGAGACCGCACCCCGCGTCACGCGCACACGCGCGGTGCTTAGCGCGCCGCCCAGGTGTGTCGGACATCCCGCCTGCAGGCGTGCGCCCGCTACGCTCGCCGCCGTCCTCGCGCTCGCGCTCGCCGCCGCAGCGCTCGCTCGGGCTGTGTAGCACGCTGACTGTAAAGGTCCCGCCCCGCGCCACGCTCACGTCCGCGGTGCCCATCCCGCCGCCCCGGTGCGTTGGGCATACCACCCACAGGTGTGCGCGCGTACGGCCCTCGCTGCGGTCCTCTCCCTCGCCGCGGTCCTCGCACTCGCCCTCGTAGCAGCCGCTCTCGCTTTGACTGTGTAGTACATTAGATGTAGAGACCGCGCCAGGTATTATGCTCACGCGCGCGGTTCTTAGCCCGCCGCTCCGGCGCGTCGGACATCCCGCCCACAGGTGCGCGCCCACCGCGCACCTTCCCCATTGCTCGCATCACTTTCGAGCTTCGCAGTCATGTATCTCAATGACATATATACATACGTTCCGACTGCTGATAGGTCTAGGAAGCCTATTCGCTTGCAGAGCATCGCGCTCATCCACCGATGGGCGCTTATAGCACTACCGCCCGGTCGCGGTTGGCGCTTAGCTGGGACCAGATCATGCACGGTGTTACGGAGAGTATCTGTCGCCCCACGCCCACAGGCCCTTGCTCTAGAAACCTGCACAACAACTAGCAAATGAAACGCCATCGAGTGCAAAAGGTCCGCGCGCGTGAAATCCAGAGCATACGCGATATCGAACATGCCGCCTCAGATGGCGAGGAAGACGTTCCGCGGAAAATGAGACAGCTGAAGTCCATCTCAGCTATCAACGATGAACGAAACAGGTTGCTGGGAGAACGCGAGGAAGCGCTTTCTGGTACGTAACACGGGGCTGGGTGATAGATGGGCGCCGGCGTTGACGTGAGTCTTTCACAGGCATGCCGGCGAGCTCTCGGGCAGCACTGAACCTAATTGCGACCGAAAATGGCGCTGAACCCGACGACTCCTCTCTTCCCACTCACGCTGAGATTTACGGCGGTGACGATGGGTCCTCGGATGTCGACGAGGAAGCTCCGGCGCTCTCTCATGAGGGCGGGGAGTACGCAGATGCTGCTCGTGCGGCGATAATCCATGTGTTCAATCCGTAAGTCTTACCATCTCACTGCCCAGTGTCCCCAATGGATGACACGTATCTATCCAGGCCCACTTCAAAGCGACACCGTGCTCCAAAACGTTCCCGTCGGGAAAGGATTCGAGCATCCCATGAGGCCTGGTGTTCGCAGCTACCAGAGCTCGTCAAGGCGTACATGGCATGGAAGCACGGTGCTGCAGAGGAGTCACGGCCATCTTCTTCTGAGGAAGGAGGAGCTGAATTCACCGTATGCGCTGTCTATACCCACGGTATGTGTTCACGATTCCTCTCCCCCGTCTGTTACTGCATGGTATGCCATCCCAGCCTGGAACCCTTCCCTCAAGATACACCAACAGAAGGACGAGCTAGCCAACGTTGCTCTCATACAGCGTGGGCTTCTCGGGTGCTCTCCTGTATCTCCGGAGTACGCCATCAGCTTGCAAACACTTGAGCTGTATCATCGATTACGGCGCCACCACGCACAACTAGGATTTCAAGCCCTAACGCGAACCTTGTGTGACCTCAACGGTGTACGTAGCTTTTACGGTTGATGTATACACTTCATAACTCGATTACCATAGGTGAACTATAGCAGCGCCGCTCGCGATCATCTGTCGACGGCGTTTGATGCATACCTCAGCATTCTGCGTTACGTTCAAGGTCAAGTCGACATAGTGCTCGGGCCCACGGGCACGGAGTGGCGCATGCGTAATACATGTCCATGCTGTACCGCTCGTGTGCGTGCTGCTTTCCGAGGTGTTTCCTCAGTACTGACATTGGTTCACAGGTTGAGGGCGAGCCCGAGCTTTCCCCCGCTCGCCTCTTTGCTATGGATGGGAACAATTCAGCAAAGCGTATAGCCAGCGCGGGCTCGGCGGACGAGCGCGTATTTCAGAGCAGCTACGTCTTGTCGCGCACTGAGGTGGACCGTTTCAAGGACGAGGTTAAGCGCCGTACTCCGTCCAAGACGACCAAGACGACTGACACACACGATGCTCGCGATACGGTGTGTACTACCACCCTCATGACCTACTGTTTTATCTACTCACTCTATCGTCCATGTAGGATGCATCTTCTGATGAAGACGACGCCCCTTGGATATCGGAGGACGCGCCTGGGGATGCACCGGATGGCCAGACGTCCCCGAGCTCCTGTACGAAAAACTGGAAGGCCAGCGCGGAGGAAAACAACCAACGGGCCCTCAAGATCTACGAGACAACGGGCATGTTTGTCGCCGCTTGCCGGCACGGTCTCATTCAGAAGCTCTGTGAAATGGTCAATAGCGGCGAGCTGTATGTAGCCCTTGAGCGCTATGTTCTGCTGCTGTATACTGATTGATCTATCCCTAGTGCCAAATACCCGCTCGCCATGGTCGACCTTCTCCTGGACGTCCACGGCGACGACTCTGGCATTGGCTACGACATCGCGTGCAGCTTCAAGGAAACCGTCAATACGAGCAAGCTCGTCGGGCCGAGGGCCGCGGAGCTTCGCATGCGGTTCGTGGTATGTGCTTTCCACGGGTACGCGCACAACCGCCTCTGCCAGCTGCATAACCATCCGCTCTACCTCATCGAATTCGGCATCGAAGACCTTGAAGGAATGGAGCGGGTCTTCTCCGCATCGAACACTGTTGCGCGACTTATACGATACGCCAGCCGCTTCCATTGGATGCAGTTCATCGACTTGCATTTCCAGCAGTGGGACAATGACAAGTACACTGAGCTAGGTGCGTGTTAACGGTCTGCATTGTTGCGGTGGGCTCACAACATACAGGTCGATTTCTCTTCAATAACTACAAGCAATGCCTGAAGATCATCAGCGACTACACACTGGAGATCAACAAACTGAAGTCCGAGCTGGGGATCTCCGACCAGACCATTGAGGGATGGATCGAGATGGAGCGCCGCTACCTCAAGGAGTTGAAGGCGCCGCCAGACGTGCGTGTCCTCGAGATTGCGTATGTCCGCGCTCTGCTCGAGCGCGACCAAGCTGAGTGCGCCCTCCACTATCCGTTTTTACCCAAGGTTGTTACTCATCTGATCATCTCAGCGAGAAGCTCACCTCCGTACGTGATGAGTGGGTCACCACACACGACAGCGAGCTTGGCTACGAGGCCGATGTTCGCGCCACAAATCGCCTCGAGGCGGCTCGTCGCACCGCGTTCCATAAAGCGGCGCTCGCAATACAGGCTGTTGGAGACCTGGAGCAGAAGCTTGCAGTCGACGCTCCGTGGACGCCGCAGCATCCGAAGTACCAGGAGACCATGCGATACATGCGGCATCAAGAATTCCACAATGCCCTTGATAGGGTCCAACAGCTCGTCGCTCAACGTCTTCTGGAGCTCACGAAGGCGAACATGACAGGCATGGGTGCGTATGCGACTCTTCCTTTCCATTTCTCCGGAGCTGATACGTCTGGAATAGGCTACAAGATGCGTACGTCGATCGGGAAAGCTCTCAAGGCGCGCGGGAAAGCCATCCGGTCAGCGTTGAACAAGTACAACCGACTCGCCTTGCAGATGAAGCCCCCCGCGCCACAACTCTTGTGGAAGGACGTCGTTACATACACGTTCATCTCCGAGTTCGAGCTCTTGCGTCATTCATACACAGACCGAGACATCACATCCGCTCCGTGGACAAAGCAACGCAATCGGGAGGTGACGTCGATGTATTTCAAGGTCCTTGGCGCGCGGAAGGAGATGCAACGCATCCACGTGGAGGCACGTCGTCTGCACACGTCGATAGTTGTAGAGCGTCTTGAGTACGAAGCCGCTATCCGAACGACCATGCCCACCGACCCATGTCTTGCCGGGGAGCTCACTGCCACCTACCGTTCACGTTCACGAATCCATGACACGCTCCTTGCTCGACTTCGCGCCCTCTATGACCTCCCAGGATACACGGGAACGCGTACGCCAGGAGTCCCAGTTGGACGCGGTAGAGACCTTGTGCTTGCTTGGCAGGCTACCACCCACAAAACCTCGGCACATGCGTCCGCTGCCAGCGACAAATCCGAGCCCTCCGTACCCGGAACGGATAGTCTCAGTGGACGACACGAAGGAGCTATGGAGGATGGAGAGGATGGCGATCTGGACGACGTGCATGCTAACGACGCTTTGAACGAAGACATGGTAAGGTTGACAGAGACATTGGAAGGGCTGCCACTGTAGACTACTAGTAGTGCTATCCTGACGCCGCCACTCGTGCATTCCGTTCACGTATGCTCCTTGTACAATTATTATTCGCTTTCTGTTCCGCAGACTACTAGTACTAGTTGCTTATTACTGACGGACTCGCATACAAGCAGCAGACTGGTCACTCGCACGGGTTGTTGCAGTGCAGTCGAGCATTCAAGTTGTGCGCGCATTCGAGCCGCCGTGCTCTACCCCGCATTCTCGATCGCGGTGCGCCGAACACAAACAACTGTGCGCGCGTCTCATCGCTGTGCTCGTTCAAAGGCTGGTGCGTCTCCCTTACCCTTACTCTTGTATCCCACTTCCCCAAGCTCAAGCCCACACGCAACTTGCTATATACCTCTAGTATCTCAGTCATCACCAACAACGACACACTATGAGCCAAAGCAACGCAAGCAGAGTTTCGTATGCTCCCGCCGCGCTTCGTGCGTATGCAGCATCTCAGCCTGGCACAATTACCCCCCTCGACCTCTCTCTTGAACGGTTCCGCCGTCGTCACGATGTCCACAAAGATAACAACGAGCAACTCCATACCGGGAGGTTGCTGCACTCCCAGTTCTGCCATGGCATAAACGATCGACATCTCGCACATCGGGAGGGCATGGACGATATCAGGGATGCAGTAAGTGCCATCCCGCCGCCGCTTCACTGCGTGCCCACCAAACAAACAATTTTCAGGCTGTCGGAGTCTCCCGTCTCGCAGATACGCTGTTCATTGGCTTCGCAATACGCCCCGAGTGGCCTCCGTCTACGCCCTTACACCCGGACAAGATCGATTTGGAGATCGTAAGCACACGACAAGTCGTCCAGCATCCTTGCTATCAGGCGGTCCTAGGAAAGCTACAACGCATCGTGAGAGAGGAACTAGCCGTTCCTCACATCATGAATTATCATGACAGGCTCGACCAAGTCACGCCGGGGCTAGGGTATGCATTCGACCGCCAGACTCGTCGTCTCATTGGAAATCCCGTTCATTATGCGGAAGGGTACCACGGCCGTGAGTACATTGATGACCTTGATGTGTCGCCGTCGCTTACTACGAGTACCCATAGCCAACCACACGAATAGAGAAGAGGTTTCCTCCGCCTCTGCAGATACCACCTGCGACGCCCCCTCCCGCCCCCCTGAGCTTGCTTCTTCACCGGGTTCCATTCCTGCCGTCGTCTCTTTGTATGCCAGCCCCGCTGGCTCTTCACGCCCCGCGCTTGCCACGTCCTCGCGTGCCCCACCGTCCGCGCATGCCGTCCGTCCTGCACCCTCCGCAGAGTCCGCGCGCGCCGTCCGTTGTGCGCCTCCCGCAGAGTCCGCGCACGCTGTCCCCGCACCTTCACATGCTGTGCATGACGGTGCGACACACAGTGCACCCAACGTGCCTGCGCACCCTGCGGAGTCTAATGAGTCTGTGCACGCCCTCCCCACCACTCCCTCGCGTGCTGTCCGTGCTGCCGCCTCCCCACGTGTCACGCTGAGCTCTTCGCGTGCCACCCCGGCCACTTCCCATAACGTTCTGGCCTCTGGAGCACAGGACGTTCTTGCTGCTTCGAACAGTACCCCTGCGCGCGACGCACCTGCTATGGGTCTCCCTGACACCGTCACCACCCGCCGTCCTTCCCGCAACACGTCAACAACCCTGCGCACCGTCACATCCTCGATCGCGGACCCTCCACGAGCTGGTTCGCGCGGAGGTTCATCTCCAGAGCCGAGTAGAGTCATGACTGGGCCTCTACGGAACTGGGATTTCACCGTTTTGCGTGCCAATGATACCCGCCCATCTCCTATTTCGCCCTCGCCGATCACTCCTGCCCGTGGGTCCTCAGCGCTGTCAAATGAGGATGCCGACTCTGGCCTGGTCTCCGAGTCTGACTCTGGTTCGGAGTACTTTGAGGCATCCCAAGTGGCAGGTGCGGGCTTCGTGTTCAGATCGACGCCTGTGGTCGGTTTATTTGATGCTTCGTTCGCTCGCTTACCTCCGCCCATAGCTCCTGTTGAGCTCGATGCTACAAACCCTCCGGCGGTGCCATCGACCTCCCCAATGCTGCAACCCGCTGATTTATCAGCATCTCGGAGGCCAGCGAGCGTCAACGAGACTCAGCACGAACTGATCAACGACTTACCCCCGCCTTACACCCAGCAGCCTGACTCCGATGCGCAGGGTGTTCCCGCCGCAGCCCTGCGCGAGTTCGGCTTCAGTGAGCGCGTGTATAGCCACCTTGTCAACATACAAGCCGACGCCACGCAGTGCGCGCAGGTCGCGCATGCCCTGAACTTTCATGCTGACGACTGGGGCCCGTTATTCCTTGAAGCCGGACTGAAGGAGTTTGATGCCTACTGGCTTCGTTGGCTCCTGTTAGACGACGTCTCGTCAGAGGTCCAAAGCACGATGAACGTGGTCGACCCGGTGGAGGATGACTCAGAGCTGGAGACGGTGGCTGGTCCTAGTCGACGGGAGAGGTCGCCAGATGGTGAATGGGAGGAGGGGTTGCAAACGACGGATTGGGAGGGTTCGCATTATTGGGAGGACTAGATATAGGGCACAAATCTTCGAACGACGGGCTCAGGCCCTCGATGCACAGGGATCACGTGCTACTGTACGCCACAAACACAACATACCCCCGATCCCCTGGCAGCGCATTGCGGGTTGTTAAACCTCGCGACCCTTATCCCCGCCCCCTCCTGCACTTGTACCATTTTTCTGCTCTGAAAATACCCGCTCGGAAGACGTGCTCGCTGCGATCCACCCCCATGGCCCGGACAGCAAGCCGAGCTAAGGCAACAACCGAGCAGCGGCGCGACTCGCGCAAGAACACTGCTGCTATGTGGGAAGCTGTCAACGCTGAACGGGCTAAAGTGCAGGTCGCCATTTTCCAGCTGGCAAAGGACTACAAACGGTCAGTTCGGGCGGCAACAACAGCCTGGAAGCATGAAAGACTCACCGTGTCATGCCCAACCCCTGGCAGATCGCCGCAGTGGGTCGCATCGCAGCTGTATTGTGGCGGGAAGCTTCTCGCTCCGAAGCGTCGGAAGAGCCTGTTCAACGCAGCTCTCCATAACCTGGCCCAGAAGCGAAAAGAAGAAGGTCAGTAGCCTCGGACGCTGTGCTGCCTGATGCCCATGACCGTGACTAATAAGGAGCCAATGCAGGAAACACGGGTGATGGACGGAAGACACTCACGCACCTGTCCGAGGAGCTGTCATTGACGGACTGGAAGGATTTGTCGGACGAAGAGAAGGAGAAGCTGCTTGCAAAACTCCAGGAGGATTCTGCCGCAACGTCGGCGCCTGCTCGACGGGTCACAGGGAAGCATAACGCACATGACATTGAAGGGACGATGACGCGCATAGATCCCGAGGTGAGTCAAACGAAGCACTTTCGTTTCTATATGCACAGACTGACCTTTGGGGCGCGGATGTCATCGGTGACAGATGGACGGCCTGGCCCAACGCACCGGGTGTCAATACCTGTCACTCCTAACGCGCGGCGATGTGCAAGACAATTGGGCCATACGCACGGTTGCTACACCAAAGGTCAAAGAAGCGTGCATCTACTTGTTCAAATGCACACCCGACGACATGGCCATGAAGATCGAGGCTTACGCGATGCTTGGTATAGCGGGTATGTATGCGACGGCATATACTCTGTGGGACACAATATACCGGTGGTTAGCATGTACTCACGGTCCTTCACAGGTGTCCTCAAACTTACCAATGGAAAGCGTTCGACGCTTCTCAAAGCAGAGATCCGCGCGAAGATCAATGAAGGGCTGCGTGAGTCTGGATGCGCGAATCCGGACCTCATGAACCTGACAAAATCTGCTCGTCATAGGTGAGGTCCTCCTGGCCCGCGGTATCACAAACGACAACATACCGAACATGGTGTGGGCGCGTTACGAGCGTGACATCGTTTGTAAGTACGGTGTCGAGCTGATAGGCTGGACGGAGCCGCCCCCTATTCGAACGAATCCCAGCGACTTCAAGCAGATCGAGCAGCTGGAGCGCGCGCACGCTGCGCTTCATGGAGAACATCGTCCGTGCCGCTGGATTGCGCTCAGTGATGCGGAGTGGGAGAAGAGGAAGGAGGCGACGCGCGTCCAGCTTCTGAACAACAAGAAGGCCTCCGGCACCAGGAAGAAGGGCCCCATCAGTCCGGAGACCATCGAGGACTCCAGTGAAGACAGCGGCGGCGAGGGCGCCTAGTTCAGCGACACGAATGCACGTTCACCGGCAGGTTGACTCTGAGCACACCTTCGTACCTGTACCCCTTCGTATACCATAGAACAGGCTTGCGTGGTGAGCTAAAGCCGGAGGGTGTCGCGTGAAAGGTGCCCATCAGCGCTCTTGAGAAAATGTGAGCCAGCGTGGGAGCATTCACAGAAGTAGTCATGAGAGCGTGCGATACCAGCAGGAAAATGCAGGGAAAGCACGAGCAGTATACACCTACATGGCACGTACACGAAGCAGACGAGAGCAAGCGGTGACGTCGACGAGGAAGGGGGTCGCGTGGACGGCGGCGGCGTCGGGAGGCGGCGCTCTAAGCGCCGGATGCTGGCGGAGTATTACTTGTCGTTGACGAGCAGGGTGTTATGCATTACATAGGACCTTTCTACTAGTGATTTATTGTACAATCAGAGCAATAACGGCGGGCGCGATGGGTGCGAGAGAGGGGGCAAAGCGTGGCGGGAGCGCGGCGGGCGCGCGCCTGTGGGCAGGATGTCCGACGCGCCTGGGCGGCGTGCTAAGCACCGCACGCGCGAGCGTAACGCGGATCGCGACCTCTACAGTCAATGTACTACACTGTCCGAGAGAGAGCAGCGGCGGCGAGGGCGAGGGCGACGGGCGACGGGCGACGGGCGCACGCCTGCAGGCGGGATGTCCGACACACCTGGGCGGCGCGCTAAGCACCGCGCGTGTGCGCGTGACGCGGGGTGCGGTCTCTACAGTCGGTGTGCTACTCAGTCGGAGCGAGCGCGGCGGCGAGGACAAGGGCGGCGGCGGCGAGGACGAGGGCGGCGGCGAGGGCGGCGAGGGCGGCGGGCGCGCGCCTGCGGGCGGGATGTCCGATGGGCCGGAACGGCGGGCAAGGCACGGCTCGCGTGGGGAATGACGTGGGAGCGATCTGGATCGCGGGGGAGATCTGGCGGGGCGGGGCGGGCGGCAGTGATGGGCCGTCGGGGGACGTTGCCGAGGATGCCGGGGACGTTGAGGAGAGGCATGAAGTCGAGCTGGGGCGCTGGGGCAATTGCTGGGGGACGGATAAGGGCGCAGGAAGGCTAGTTAGCCTTGTTCGCAATGCGTGCGGATAAGGCT